TGAGTCCAAGAAATACACCACTCATAGGCTGACGGTGAAGATGACCGGGTTGGTTTTGTTGCTGCTTGCGCTCTTGTTCATGGCAAAGCTTCAATCTTCTTCGAGTGCACAAAGTCACAAGGTTGAGGGATATATCCGTGGGTGTTTTATAATTTGGTCTTCGTGCCACATTTCCAGTGCTTTAGTTTGTCCGTATTCCATCATGAGAAGTTGAGAAGTGGTAGCATGGCCTCTCTATGGTGTCAAGCCATGACATAAACTTCTCCAACCTGCCATGAACCTGCCTCTTTGTGAGCCTTTAGCTCTCCTGCGTGAGCCGGTGGCAGTGTCGAACGCTAACGGTCGGTGGTGCCCGGTGGTGCCCTGTCCGCTCTGGCCTTGCTCCTTCGCCGCGCCACCGCGGTTCAGTCGCTTGCCCTTGGGCGAACCAATCGCTTGGGGGTTGGAAAGCTGGAGCGACCGGGTTGGCCATGCTGGTCGTCGTGGGACCCGGTTTTTGAGGCGGGTGCGCTGGGCGCGGTCTTCGTGCACTACGACGAGGGCGCGGGGCCGCGAGGGGTGGGCGCTGGCGCGAGGGGTGGGTGCTGTGTATTTTCAGGGCCCAGCGCAGGAGGTGAGGGTTTGGTTCGGAGGTTGTTTTCTTTGGGGTGAGGAACTTTGTTGTTGCCAGAGGCTGAACTGATGTTGCACTGGACCAACGGAGACTCATTTTGTTTTCTTCGGCCCGGTCGCCATGGGTTCCTGCACCCGATCACAACGACGAAGCTCCGCTCCCATTCGTCGGCAATCCGACCAATAGCGAGCGATTCGCCACGATTGGTTCACATTCTTTAAGGTCGTATACTGTTTCTATCCCCAGACGCTCCATGTATGCCATACATGCCTACATTAGGGTGCTTTTGGGGGTCAATGTAATGCATATATGGCAGTCCCTTGGAGTGTATGGGATTTGTTTCTTGTAGTTGCGAAGATGAGACTCGGCCAGAAAACTCCTTCGGTCGATCCTGGCTGCCGTCCGTCGGCGCCGGCGCGGCGGATCGCTGCTTCGATGGTCTCGGTCCCGGGATGTCCCACCGAATGGCGGTGCATTTTGTGTCTGGCAGGGTGAACACGTGCTTCGTGACCCCATGCGATGAGGAGCCAGGAACCAACACCCATACACTCCATGTATGGAATATATGCCTACATTGACCCCCGAAAACCACCCTAATGTAGGCATATGTGGCATACATGGAGCGTTTGGGACATGAAACCAATCCATCCCAATGGATCCCGATCGAAAAAGACACCCGTTCGGTGTGAGGCCAAACCGTCGGCCTACGCCCGACGCCCGTGTTTAGGCCTGGCGGGCCTGGCGTTGGGCGACGCGGAGGTGCCCAGCATCCGTGCGGTGCTTGGGCTGCAGAAGGGGCCAGAGTAATTAGGTTGAAGGAGAAGGGTCCTTGAAGGGTCCTTGAACACCTGCTCTTCAGCAGGTCTTTCGGCTGGAAACCTTAGACCTTCCTGATCCTTCCTGGTTGCACACCTTGAAGGGAATCCTTTCATTGGGGATGGATCGAACGTGATCAAGCTAGGGGCACTGGTGGATGCTCACGTTAAAGCCCAAGATTGGTGTCTAATTTTTCAGATTGATCTTCAAGGTCTCGCCAATTCCGCATTTGGAGTTTTCACCCAAATCAACTCCCCATCAACTCCTTCCAAGATCCTCCAACTCGCTTCTACCGGCGGTCATGCTCTACAAAAGGGCCACAGCACACGCCGATGGTTGCGCACACACCCGTGCACGTCGACATGATCGGGCGGCTTTCCCGTTCGCTGTCCGAGGTGGTCATCGAACGTTCGCCGGGCCTTGAGCTGCTGTCGCTCTTGGCCTCCCAGGCGTGAACCGAAGCCGGGGGTCTGCCTGCTTCGAGCGGACGTGTCTGCCTGCTGATCTGCTGAAAGTGTTGCAGAGTGGGTTTGTTCCACTTCCATGTTTGCCGCAGGAGTGTAGCAGGGCTCCACTGAAGGTTGCGTCTCGAAGCGTTGATGGGACAGACGCAAGAGGACATCACTAGGGCAGCCCTGCAAACAGAGCAATGGATGATCCCAGACTTCATCAATCTAGCATGGAAGACCGGGTTTTCAGAGGACCAAGAAAAGAAGTCAACCTACAGAAGACGAACACCACCAGAACAAACCCGTTACTGTCAACTCTTTCGATGTGTTATTGGTGAACACGGCGAGAGAACCCAATGCCACGGAGGCGGTCGAGGCGGAGCTGAAGCTGGGGAAGTTGATCTCGGAGGATGCCTACGAGGTGGCTGAAGAGGGGCCGTCTCGGCGGTTTTTGATTTTGTCGTGAACTGGAGGGTGTTTGAACGTTTGTGAGCACCTGCAAAGGGTTCTCCTATGTTCTTAAAGAATAGCTACCAACCTCATCTTCCCTATCATCATTTCCATCATCATGATCACGTGTCAAGACTGTGTGTAGGTATCTACGGGTGCATTCACGTCAGTGTACGCAGCTGTAGTTGTGCATCGTTCGTGCATTTGGTGTACATGTGCAGATGTATAGATCTGGGCGTATGGATGCACTTTGAAAGTACTCCTACAGAACACCTACAACTGCGACCTTCTTTTGAACGCCCTCTTTTTCGGCCCGTGCGATCGCGTGTCCAGACGCCACGCGACGTGAGCGGGATCGTGGGCGTTTGATCACGTGCCCGAAACCGTGGTGGTGGACAAACTAGCAATCTGGCGCACCAAACAAAGACAGGTGATTGAATCTTGAAGGGAACCCAACATGTGGTTCAGATCGTTTATTGGTGAGCACCCGCTCTGAAGTGGCGTTTTCTCACTCACTGCAATGCCAGGAACAGTTCATCTTCCGCGTGGATGAGTTTCATGCGACCCGGAAGCCTGGAGGCCAAGCTTTAGGGCCTGAAGGGCGGTTTGGCGCCTGGCAGAGTGATCCTCATGCTTGTGTCGCATGAAACACCGGGCTTGCGACTTATATATGGTGGGTCCCAGCGGTTGCTTCGGTTTTTTCCTTGTAAAAGATCTACAGACCACTTGCGAAGTGATTTTGGCGGTCACTGCTAGCCATAGCGGAATGTTGAATTTTTGTTTTTGTCGAACAATGTGGCCTTATGACTTCTAGTGGAGGCCTGTTGTTTTTTTTCTGCAAAACCAGGGGGGTATTGGTGGCACTAGGGCACTAGGCAGGAAGTAACTACCTGTGCAACACGAGCAGGAAGTTGTCAGAAGACCCACTTCTGCAGAGGTTTGTAACCCCACTGCAGTGGCCCCAAGCAGAGCAAAACAGTGTTTACTGAGAGTGACATTTTCACCAGGGGTCACGACCAATTCAATTTCTACTTTGGGTGTCAATGACTTGTACGCACAAAAAACAGCCGCTTCCAGTTTTACACTACATGGAACTCATGAGCGGGAGGCGTTTTTTCGGTGCTTCGCTTGTGCCGAGGGAAAACTTCCTTTGGCACCAATACCCGAGCTTGTTGCCCAGCAGCGGACGAGAGGCAGGACAAATTCCGCCGAAGTGACGAAGCTCTTCCGGAGGGACACTTTTTCTTGGCGATGGCGATGGCAAGGCTTTTTCCGAGCAGAACCTTCATTTGTTGATGTCTCCTGATGTATCGGCCTGTGGGTTTGACTTTGTACCGTCTACTGTCCCTCCCTAAACGTCATTGTTCCAATGGCGGATGTTGGCAACTGACAAACCGCTTGTTAACTTGTTGACAAGTCATCCCCATCCTGACTGCGCCCCCCTCCGAAAAAATAAGAAAACCAAAAGAAAAACCATTCAACTGGCCCAGTCACTGGCAGACGCCCGCGCTCGCAGACCTTGAGTGCCCGGTTGATGCCGCGGCTCGCGGTGCCTGAGGGCTGGTTCTCTCGGCCCATGGGCTTTGCGCCTGGGCGGAACCGGGCGGCGGAGTGAGGATTGCGGAACGGAAGGAGCGACACGTTGGTGTTTTTGTTTGGTGCAACGCTTGCGGCCCCGACGTTTTTATCTTTGTTTTTTTGGGAATCATTTTGAGGGGCAAGTCTCGCAAGAAGAGCGACCCTCCAATCAGTCTGGGTGAGTTTTGTTTCAGAGTGGAGGTTTATGTTGGGCAGGCGTGACAGTTGCTTTGGAGAACATTTGATCTACTTGCATATTATATGATATTGTGACAGGCCGCTTCTTCGGAACATCGTGATTGATGGGTTCACTCCTCCTGTCCATTTCCTGGTTTGCCCATAGTTTTGGGGTGAACTTTGTTGGGTGTTCCAGGATTTGGACCTTTCCACAGGGAGCTTTTTTGTCTTTCTTGAAGGATGATGCAATTTGTTTGTTCCTCAAACAAATGAGATGGTACTTCAAGCGCAACTGCTGACATCAAATGTACCGAGATGTTATTGATCATTACTTTACAGTCGCTTCAGAATGGTGCAAGAATGACCAAATGTACCTCCACGGCTTGGGACAAATACCATTGACCGGGGCCAGAGCCCGGGAGAGCGGGTTTCGAAGGACGCCCGGCCTCGAGCCATCTCGAGCCATCTCCGGACTCGAGCCATCGACGGATCTCCGGCTTTCGACGGCGGAGACGGGAGATCAGGTGCCTCTCTTCAACCCCTCGTTGCAGGGAGTCCTGTGTCGTGGAAGATGGGGGACGAGGGGAGGGACTGGGTGAGAGTCAGGACGGAATGGGCGGAGGAGCGGACCTTGGGTGGATTCCAAAGTGTTTGGGATGGGTGAAGAACAGCCGTGGGCTTCTTGACCGTTCAATGCTTGTCGTTTAGACGTTCTCCTGCTTGGCACAGCAGTATATAGAGCCCTGGCTTGTCATGGTTTCAAGATGCTGGGGCAAACGATCAGGACCGACTGCCTTTACCCTCGGTTGCTCCGTCACAAAACGAGCGGGAGCAATAGCTCCCCGGTTGGACACCCATCGCGTGGCCGGGACAAGGTCACCACACACAAAATTGCGGGTCCCGTCCAAGTGTTCGGCTGCAGTCGAGGCAACCATCCACACCCACTCTGGTGTGTGGCACGTGGCACGTGGTGCTTGGCCGAGGCTCTCTCTGCAGGATGGCACCTTCCTAGTGGCCTTGCGGATGTCCAATGGGCCTCTTGGTTTGGTCTGCTGGCTTTAAAAAGACGTTAAAACGCGGGACACGAGCGACATCGCCTGAGATCTCCAGGTGGAGTTAGTTTGTTAAAACATGTTAAAGCAACCATCCCCGCCCAGGAGGTGCATTTGTTCCACTGGGGCGCCACCAACATTGTGACTCTTTTATATCAGATGATTTTCTTTTCCTCGAATCGAATGAGTGCATCATTCTCTCATCTCCTGACCTACAATCCATCCTTTGTTTTTTTACCTCAATTTTCCAATAACGTCACGATAGGGGTCTTCCCTTGTATAGGATGCGCAGGGTCCCGGTCATACCTGATGGTGTCCCAGTCTGTGCATTGTGCCTTGGTTTCGGTGTCTCGGTCAGCGGATGTAATTCGGTCCTAGGTGCTTGGCAGCCAACAAAGAGGTCTATTGACTTTAGGGACTTTAGGGGTGCTCTATGGTGCTCTTGTTTCGTTCACACAAAAGAGCACCTTGTTGCTTTTGTCCCACATGAGCCCTCCAGCCCTCGCGCATGCTGCAAACAGCGCGAAAGACCGAGGCAAGGGTGTCCCAGCGTCCGCGCTGCCCGGGAGTCGAGCACGGAAACCTGGCGGAGCAGCGGGGGAAGGTTCGACGGCACCGCGTTCCGGTTGGAGGGAGTCGGGCGGTGGACGGAGGAACACATGGAAGGATGACATTGTAATATTATATATAGTGAGTTGATGTGGTGATGCCCAGGCATGAGGAGTACATACTTCTTTCGATCTGAAATCGTGTGGCCCATCTTCCTGTCTCTGAGATCCAGCTCCTACATGTTCCTCTAGCTTGCAAGAGTTTGGGAGCCAAACGTCGTGCTTGGAGAGCAGTTTGGCGCCAGTGTTTCGTTGAAAGGTCTCGACCAAGTGGGAAGGATTTGTACAGTTAGTTCGAACATTTCTTTCATCCGTTCAACATCCTTCAAACGTTCTTTCCACTCTTAAGCAGCCGCGAATTGCCCGGGACTCCTTCCCGTCGGTGGTCTTTCCCTCTCGTGAGGCATGGACACACGCATCTGCCGGAATGAGCTGGTGCTTGCCCGGAAGCCCAACGGGAGCCCAACAGGACGGGACACTCCGCACAGAGGTGGCCCATGACTGCTTTTTACCTCTTGAGGTGTGTTCAAGAAGGTTTGTGGGCGACACAAACCGGTTTTTCAGTTTCGAAAGACATTCTTTTTCACAAAACGACCGTTTACAAAACTTGGCTCTTTTTCCAAGAAAAATGACGACACTCTATATATGTTGTCAACATGATTCTTTCTTGCGCTAGAAAGCAATAGAAAAGAACACGACGCATAACAGAGTTGTCGTTGCGTCAACAAACCAGTCAACCAAGTAATCACAAGTATTTGATTGACATAATTTTTTGGGGGGCAGATCATCGCTTTGTTCGCCAGATCATCACCGTCCAGGCCCATCTAGGCGAAGATCTGGCTGTGCGTAGCCACGTCCTGGTCGAGATGCCCATGCTGTCGGGGCAGCCCAGCGGCCGTTCAGGGCCTGGGTGGAGGAGGCAGGCGCATGTGGCGCCCGGTTCGTGGAAACGCTGGGCGCCCTGAAATCCCTCATCACTGGATCACTGGGATCTTGCATTGACTTGCCATCCTGCAGAGACGCCTAGATTTAGTGGAGACGACGCCTAGGTCATCACTCCGACAGCCAGTCTGAGATGAGTTTGATTTCAACGACCAGCAGCCTGGGGCACCAAAGCCTAGCCCATTTGGCCTATTGCTGTGGACGGTGACAGATTTCTGTGGAGATGCCTTTTGAAAAGAATGGAGACTGTTGATCAATCAACCCCCCATATATGAAGATGTCTTCCAATCTAGCCTAGTATCTGCAGGCACAACCGGGGCAACATCAGCTTTCCTTCTCTGTCCGGTTGGTGCGGTTGGTGCGAAAATTCGCACAAAAGCAGGCGTTGCCGCTTCACCGCGGAGTCACAGACGGCTGGGACGCCCCAAACGGAGGGGGGTTCGGGATTGAAGGAAGTTGGGTGCGGCTCCTACTTCGCGACCCACAGAGTCGCTGAAGTAGGTCGATCCTTGCAGACAAACTTTTTTTAACCTGTTCGCCTGCTGTAACAGTTTTGCACACCATACATTGGTACTAGAGTGAGAACTGTAGGCTTTCATTTGCATGCTTTGGAACGCAGATGTGTGGGCGCGAGCGAAATGGGTCGCCTGTATCTAGGTGTGTGTTTCAGAAGGGTGGCCCTGCAAAGCCATTCGCTTTGGTAAGCAGCTATATTACTCATCCTACTGAGCAGGGTTTGAATGAGGCCACTGCAATTCATCGGTGTATCGGAATCGCCAAGCCGACCGAAAAGGGGACGGCCCGGGATGGCTCGTGGGAGGCTCCAGAATCTCAAATGGACATACCCCATGTATATGATCATATGCCATATATTTGAACGATAAGTTACTGCATACTAATGCTTCTCTTTGGAAGAGATATGTTTGGATCACAAACACCCTAAGATGACCAAGATCAGATCTGACTTTTTGTGAACACGAACCGGCGGATCTCTTGATTCGGACTTAGGATGGGCGAACGGTTTTTCATGTGTGAAGAAAGCGGATCCATGTGCTTCAGCGTTCGGAAAGGAAGAACGATGAAGAATGAATGGTTCCTACCCAAGGCTCGAACATTCAGCTCGATGTCCTCATGTCCCACCTCCCGCGAGACGACGAACACTTTGTATAGTGATTCCTGATTTGTTCGGGCAGATGCCGGATGGATGTCCATCGACTTTCATTCTGGAAACAACCTGCGAAACGCAACGAAAGGGGAGAGAAAGGTGGGCCATGTTGTTTCGTGTTGCGGCCAGCCATGCCATCTCACTGTCTAAATGGATCCAGGGAAATGGCGATGTTCTCCGTGTCGGTGGATCGAGAGATCGGTCGGTTCGACGTGTCGAAAACACGTCGAGATGGATCAGATGAGGTCGATGGGGGCGGATGGATGGGGACGGAACGGGCGGAACTGGCTTGAGGCCGGTCGGCAGTTCTTGGATGAGGTCTATGGCCCCATGGACGCACGTGCGCCGTGTTCGATGGGAAGGAATTCCGACACGGGACTCTCTGGAAGAAGTCTGGCTTCCGGCTGGTATTGGAATTGCCTTGAATGGCAGGATTGCCAGCTCAGCTGCCGAAAGTCATTCTCCCTGCATGTCGCATGATAAACTGAGCCGTCATTTTTTTCTATACAGTAACCATTCAGATCTCTTCAGAAATCAACGTTCAGGACAGACCTCTGTGATCCTCCATGGCTTGGGGTCTCTGGCCCGGACTGGCCGCACAACGGCGAGGTATTGCCTGGGGCGACGAGGAAATTTGGGTCCTCTTCTATGCCGAGAGGAATGTCTGCGAAGTGGAGGCCGCTCCTTCAGCGGATGAGTGTTTTGGGCTCGTTCTACCGAGGCGAGACGGCACGAGGCTTTGAACACCCAAAGCGAACATGCAAACAAGATCAAACAAGTATTTGTTACGGTTGTTGGAGACTGGGCCGTCAGGCAGGGTTTTAGAGACTTGGCAGGTAAGACGTCTTCAGAAGTTCTCCACACTGCTCGTCAAGCAGTGTGGTTTTCCAGAATGTTCCAGTCTTATCCATCTGGCCATTGTAAGTTTACCAATCCATGACTCACGGTGACCATCATGTTTGGAAGGATTTTGGAGGACATCTCCACTTGTGTGGTGGGTTGCATTGTAATTGTAATTGATGTGGGTTCTCGAGAGCCCAAGTTCATCTTCTTCATGAAGATGGGACGACAGGGAAGACGAAGACGAGTGGGAGGTTTCTGCCTCCCGAAAAGCGGTCCCATGCAGTCGGGGTTGGAGTACACTGTTCTACAGTTTGGTAGCACACACTTGCGAACATTCTGTGAACTTTCTATAGTTTTTCTATCCGTTGTTGGGGCAAATCCGTTGTTGGAGGATGCTGTCTCCAGGTTGTAAGGTCTTTGGAGAGGTTTCCAGCATCCTCTCGAACCTCAAAATGCCGGGATCCGGAAATAGCCAGGGAACGGTACGAAAAGACATCCCCCCATTTTCCCGAACTCGTCCTCGCTTGGGTACTTGGACCTGCCTTTTTGCCAGTGCGCGAAGAGGGGTGTCGGGGTCCCTTTCTTACCCTTCCAGCCACTGTCGGGGTCCCTTCTCTTCCCCCAAGGATGATCAATAGCGCAACAAAAACGTGCCCACAGCTTCGCAGGTGGAACGAGGCATGCACGCGGCCCCTTTGCACATTGACTGGGCCACATGCAACGGCGTGACGCCCCAGTGCCATGGGCAGTGTTCCTTCCTTGTGGCGAGGGGAAGGAAATCTGGAACGATTCGAACGGTTGGGTAATTTTCAAGGATGCCAGTCCTAGGTTTTCAGGGTGCAGCGCCAGCCTTTTGACAAGCTCACAGTCTCTTCGCTGAGAAACAACAAATCCTCCGGTGCTCATGGTCTACCAACGAGGCGTCTGGTATTCGTCTTGCATGCCGGACATGCGGCTGTAGGTTGGTACCTCTACGCGACAGACGCAGCCTCTCGGAGAAGTTCCGTTTTGATGGTCGCCGCTCTTTCGGCGCAGCAAAGCGGGAGAGATTGGTGCGTTGCAAACAGGGTTTTAATGGAAGCAAGCCCAGCAAGGCAACACGAAAGCCAATGGGGGAGCAATATTGTTTGTTTAGTTCTGACCCAAGGGCATCTCAAGCTTCTCCGGTAGATTGCGGTAGATTTGTTCCTTCTCCGGATCTGTCAACAGGCCTTTCTGCCATCGCAATGCAGCTGGTTAGGCCCCGGCGGATGGCGGACGCGTGCGATGTTCCACCGCGTGCGATGTTTTCTGGCGGAAGAGGGGGGTGCAGGTGGCAAAGGGCAAGGGGTGACTATGAGCCAGTGAACCATCCCCCCTGGTATGCCGCCTTGTTGGTGGATGAGATGTGGGATTGGTTTGGTAGAGGATGATGCCCAAAAATCAGTGGGCATCATACTCAATTGTTGGGTTTGAGATTGCAGGATGAGTTGTTGATAGAATTGCTCAAGAGAGATGGCACGCCGGACCTCTCGGTATTGTGGTATGCCAGCCCCCAGTACCGCTGAATGGTAAGGGGTATCCGGCTATCTCCAAGTGTCGCTCCAAGTCAATCTGACCCCAAACGCTCGGCCCGCGTCCTGGTGCGAAACGGTGCTGCGTCGTGGGACCTGCGTTGGTCTCGGTGGAGGGAGTGGCGATCCCATCTCCCTCGAGAGCTGCCAAAGATCCTGCGAGGCCGGACGACAAAGAAGGGGTTTCCTCGGATTCGAGGAGACCCAACAGTAGATGCCAAAAGCAAGCCCCCTCTACATGCCTTTCTTTAGATGTTTCGGGTCAGGAAGTGTTTTTAGCAATGAAACTTCCTGCACCTCGTTTGCAGATGTGACATGCTCCCCAAATAAGCAGCTGCTTGTGGAAGTCGAGTTATACTCGGTACACTCTGTTCTTGACTTGAAGTCCAACTGGAGGGGCCGGTAGATTGCCAGGTAGATAGGCACAAATGGACATCAAAGGAAGGGATTTTCCATGAACCATGAGGAATCTAGTGGCCCCAAAGTTGATCAAAGGGTTTTTCTCTTGATCTCCGTCTAAAAATGTCTTGTAAATGATTTACCCTGGAAAATGCATTGGAAATCATTTTCTATCTACTTTTGCCTAAAGAGGTGCTGACTCATGAGGTTGGATGTTCTTCCAAATCATACTCACTGCTCTGAAGAGATACAGCCCCACATCCGATCTACTGCCGTTCGGCTGCGGGCATTCTTCCTCCCTCCGAGTGCGAGGCGCAAAAGGCTTGCACTGCCTTCACCTTCCGAGAAGGCACCGAGAGTGGTTTTCAATGGTTTTCAAAAGGAGATATTGGAGGAAGAGAGTGCCTAAAAGACTTCGGATTTGTTGGCAGTTGAAAAGCAAATGGGCGGATCGGAAGCTCTGGAAGATGTCCTGTGAGCTTTGAGGAACAAATTTGGAATGGACACAGCCAAGAGGACGGTTCCCTACTGGGAAGTTCCAGTTGTCATTTTTGGGGTCCCGTCCAACATCAATTCGCACTGACGCTTGACCTGGTCGCTTCTACTCGCACAGTGAGTCCCTGTCCGGCTTACTGCCACCCGTTGACTTTCAGCCGATTATCGGACAAGATACATCCACACTATGTGAATCCGACAAACTAGTGAAGCAAGATGATGATGATCCTCTACCGGTCTAGTAGTCAGTTGTATCGGTTGATGGGAGGTGCATGGTGACCAGTGGGGTGTCTAACCTGGCTGCCCAACCACCCGACGCTTTGCTGCCACTTGGCGATCAGAGGTGTTGCCTGCGAGCTCCGTCAATGCCTGGGAACTGAGACTCGTTTTTGCTCAGAATCTCATGTGCCCACCCTCGACTCGTTTTCTTTTTGCACCCCACAGCCATCATCAGTATTCCAGTGATGTGGCCATGGAAAGGTCCGCCAAAACTTGTTTGGGTCGGTGGCACCGACCCTCTCAGCCATTTCGGAGTGACTTCGTAGGAGTTGAAACACAGGGCGACAGTGGCCCTGAAAGAAGGGCGCCGGTCAGCCGGTCTCGATTCCTCCGCCCGAAAGGTCGCGGTGGGTGTGGACACTGGAAGACTTCATTCTCTGGAAGACGTTGACGCATGAAACCACCCGAAAGTCAGGTCGCTGGTGGAAACCACCAATTTCAAGCTGGTTGAGACCGACACCTCTGTTAGACGTTGGAACGGTTTTGACGGTTTCTCCGTCATCAGGAGAGGTGGGAGACAGGGACCTGAGATTATCTCATCCGAAAAGCAGGTTTTTTGATGTTTTTTCCCCAAACAGTGTGGCCACACTGACAGGTTCTTACGGTAAGTGAAAAGCAGCTGATGCTTAGATCGCTGAAGCGCGCGGCCGTGAACGGCTAATTCGCTGCTATTTACAGCAGAATCTGAGGGCCGCGCCGGGCGCACTTTGGTACATGGTGGTCACTTTTCGTGGCAGGCGCAGGGGAAACCTCGTATTTTGGTGCTTCAAAGTCGACTTTTCGTGACAGGTGCAAGGGATCGGAGCTGTTTTACTTCGAAGTGCAGTTTTCGTGGCAGGTGCAGCACGTCGAGGAGGTGACAGGTGCAGTGAATCGTGACTTTTGGACATGTGGCTCGTTTGCAGATTTCGTGGCAGGCACAGCACTCTGTGACCCTCGATGTGCAGATTTCGTGACAGGTGCAGCGCTTTGTGAACCTCGAAGTGCAGATTTCGTGGACTTGGTGAACCTCGAAGTGCAGATTTCGTGGCAGGCGCAGCACTTCGTGGACCTCGAAGTGCACATTTCGTGGCACAGCACTTGGTGAACCTCGAAATGCAGATTTCGTGGCAGGTGCAGCACTTGGTGAGCCTCGAAGTGCGGATTTCGTGACAGGCACAGCACTTGGTGGACCTCGAAGTGCAGATTTCGTGGCAGGCACAGCACTTGGTGAACCTCGAATCTTGGCAGGCACAGCGCATGGTGAACCTCGAAGTGCAGATTTCGTGGCAGGCACAGCGCTTGGTGAACCTCGAAGTGCAAATTTCGTTGCTTTGTGCTCTCAGTTGCTCACTCTCTCACTCTCCCACTCTCACCCTCCCACTTTCGCTCACACTCACGCTCCCTCACACTCCCACTCTCACTCTCACTCACACTCGCACTCACACTCACTCTCTCCCACTCTCACTCGCGCTCGCACTCACACTCACTAACTCTCACTCACACTCATTCTCATCCTCACTATCTCCCACTCACACTTCCACTCCCACTCACACTCCCACTCACACTCCCACTCACACTCCTCACTCCCACTCGCAGACTCTCACTCGCTCTCACTCACTCTCACCCAGACTCACACATTCACTCTCACTCACTCTCATTCACTCACTCGCACTCTCGCTCTCGCTCTCGCTCTCGCTCTCACTCTCTCACTCTCTCACTCTCTCACTCTCTCACTCTCTCACTCTCACTCTCCCACTCTCAGTCGCGCACACTCTCACTCTCACTCTCACTCTCCCACTCTCAGTCGCGCACACTCTCTCATTCTCACCCACACTCACTAACAACTCACACACACACACACACTCTCACTCTCACTCTCACTCGCACTCGCACTCGCACTCGCACTCGCACCCGATTCACTCTCACTCACGCTCACTCACACTCACACTCTCGTACTCACACTCACTCTCCCACTCTCGCTCACACTCACACTCCCTCTCACCCACACTCACTCACACCCACCTTCACTTCATCACCGCCATCACCTCTCTGGACCCCAATGCGTCTAGATTTCTAGACTTTCTGCTTGCCGACCTCACACACACACACTGTTTGGGGTCTTTTGCCGGGATAATTGATGTTTCGATTACCTAGGCTCACCCGAATCATGTCTTTTCAGGAAGAAAACCCTGCAGATCCACGAATGGTGTGGGGTAGTCACCGCGTAGTCCAGGGTAGTCCATTCGTTAACCCAATGGGTCCTGGGTCCAGTTGCGGATTCGTTGGATGAGTTCGGATCCCCACACGCGGTGACAAACAGAGATGCTCCGCTTCCCTAAAAACACCAAGGCTCCGAGCGCCCGAAGGCACACTGGGCACACTGGCTTTTGGTGGGAAGTGACCACAAATACTCATAGTCTTGGGATAGCGAGGTTGGGCCAAGCAGGTTTGGGCGCTGCTTTTTGACATGCTCCAGCTCACAGGCAAGTGGAAACTTTATCGTTGTAGGGAGGATCTCTCAAACACTCTCTGTTGAAAAAACAATTTGCCCCAAGAAACTGTTTTGTGGGAAGTGATTTTTTTCTGTCAACTCTGTTTTTTTGGATTGCTAGGGGGTCCATGAGATCACTCCAAGGAGTGCGGGATCTTCCAGCGGGATCTTCCAAGTTCAGGGCGAACTGTCGATTTCTAAGCTCGCGTTCCGATTGAACATCTCCAATGTTCCAAGCAGCTCCACAGTCATCACGACCCAAGCTCTCCATGGTACCATTCATTTCCCACAAACTGCACCGTAAGATGTGAAGACGCCCACGCAGTGGACATATACCAATAGATAGACCGTTTGCATGTTGTTTTAGGCATACAAGAGGGAAGACTTGGATGAGAAGAAAGCAGCAAATCCGGGTTTTCCGGTCCTAAGTCCTACCGCTTTCCAACCGGTCCACTGAAGGTCTGGCCACTGGTGGGCTGGCAGTCCTGGCACCGAGGAGGCCCAGACCCGGATTTCGGTCCCTGATCCTACTCGCATTCCAATGCTTATTGTTTCTAATAGCTTCTTGTTACTACTAGTAAGGCACTTGTTACTAGTAGCGTGGCACTTGTTCCTAGTAGCTTATTGTTTACAGCAAGTCTTGGGGCGGACATACAGCTTGCAGACGCAACATGCTTGTTCCCGGTACTGTTGAGATTGCCAGCAAAAATTCAGCTACTGATGCTACATTATACCAAGAAGGTCATTTTAGGTTCGCTGCATACTCGGATAGAAAACGGCCGGTTATTCGGCGTACAAGACCAAAGCGTCTGCCCATCACCATTCAAGAAAAGGCCAGGCCAAACCAGCGTTTGGCCTGCGACTGTCTTCGACGTGCAATGTGTAACGCTTTCGCAGGCGACCATAAATATGCATCATCGCACCTCGCCATGCAATTCCTAGCGCCAAATTTGCAGGACCCTGTACTCTATCTGATATATCAAGCTTTGTGTGCCTTACACCGCATGTATGTCTATATGCCAGCGTTAGCTCACATATGTCTCCAAGCTGTCTGTGATCACAGTGGCCCCCCTAGGGACATGCGGGCGCATTGGCCTATAACAGCAGGTAGGAGGGACAATTCTGTAGCCGACAAGGAATCTTATTGGGCCCTGGAGGGTTAGCCCTTAAGTTACCTTTGGCCACTACTAGAGACATCCGGGATGAATGCAAGACCGCATGGGACTAGTGTTCCTATCATATGTACAAGCACCGACATGGAGCGCAAATTCAACCGTTCGACGATCGATGGATACTTGACACACCAACGCTGGACACATTTCACCAAAGAGCAGCAAAAATGGCTCGCTATGGACATTTTGAGTGGATCCCAGACAGGAAGCCAAAGTTAAGTGTCTGGTGTTCACAAGAAGAGGGTATATAACTGTGTGTTCTGTGTGGCCACGGACACACGAGAACATCATCAACACTCATCAACTACATTGTCCGGAATTTCAATCACTCCGTAACAAACACCAACACGCCATTGGTGTTCTCTCCCGTAACAAGTCACTGCTGTGGATGCCTCTACCCACCCACCCAGATAACATTGAATTGATCCGTGGAAGTGACCTCATACATTCCCCTATGCCAATAACAGAGCACAGTCTGCATGTCTACGATGGATCATGTGATGAACCAAAACGTGTATACCTTCGAAAGAGCGTGTGGGCCGTTGTCTTGTGGCACGGTTCGTCGTGTGAGGTAGTTGGCAATGAGAATATCACTCACACCTCCGGCAAACAGACCATCTCCAGGGCCGATCATCTCGTGCAGTTGTCACGTGCCCCGATCATCTCGTTCATGCGTACTCACACTGAATATGCATATCTACACCGATAGCCTCTATGGTTGCAATCTAGTTACTGTACTCTCTCCAGAACTTACGAGGAAGTAGCTTTTCAAACAATTTCCTCGTTATATAAACAATTTTACTGGAGCGTTTGCATGTCATTTCTCTGGTTGTGAAAAACTTCTTCCTCGTTTGGGAGGCCGGTAGATTCTTAGATGTTACATACACAAAGTTAAATCCCATGGGAAAACTGCTGAAGCTATATAAATCCTGGCACGATTTGCGTAACATTCAGAGTAATAATCTTGCTGATAAGGCAGCCATAGCCATCCGAGAAACAGAATGCTCTGAGTTTGCACCATTTCTGCGACAAGCTCATAGCCATTCTGCAGATCAAGCTAAAGACATTCTTGCAGTATGGTAATACCTCCTTGAATTAATATAACCAACTTGAGGTCAAGAAGAACAGTGAAAAGACTACGCATATTCGGTTGTCAGTCCTGAATACATATGAAGCTGTTTGCAAAACGCTACAGACCTGGAATTCCCCTAGGTGCAAATGTGGGGAGATTCAAAATCCTGCCCCTGTTATTTTTGCAGCGTCCACTTGGGGGCAAAAATTCGCTATTGCTGCTTGGGAATATCTAAAGGTCTTGAAGCGGCCACCAGAATCTAGTGGTCCAGAACCTGGAGACTATGGCATCTGGCCAGAACTCGCTATATCGTTCATGCTGGCACCGGTTTCTCCATCCCAATCCTGCCGGGCAAAGGACGCACACCACCTGCCCGGATGTCTTCATCTCCTGAAGTACAGTTACTACCACCCAATCAGCGATGCGTGCGTTTACAGGCTGAAACACCGCGATGCATTATTCAGACATTACAAACGCAATCGCAACAGACACTAATTCCCAAAGTTGCTGAAAAAAATTGCAGAAGTCTACTTGTCCTCGGTTTTGGAGTTAAACATGGCTCAGGAATGGCATGCCGCCCAATCTTGCCTAATGCAGTAGAAACGATTCAACCCCTAGAAGAACTATATTCGGGCATTAGACTCTAACCCACCCTATCATACCAACCAGCCGATCAAGATCCCAGTAGTTACCCCGTGTGTTGCTTACCAGGCAGTTCTCATTTTCGCAGCTACAGGAAAAGGTCAGACGCTATATCCGAGCTAAAAGCTTAGGACCATACCCATTCCCGCAGGAGCTCTGTGATTTACCACAGCATTTGTGTTAATTCGTGTACACTGCACGTGGACATACTGATGTTCATCTCCCCATACCCGCCCATAAACCAAGGGATGTAGCGTGACGGCGCAAGAGCCATGCCATAAGCCCGGTGACCTCCCCAGTCGTCTCTTCTTGTTACTAAGAATGCTACCACTAGTACGGCCACAGTTCGCGTCCGATCGCTCCTAGCAAGGCCAGGAATTTCCAGTAGCGAACATTGTTACTCAATCTGTTCATTTTTTGTGGTCAAAGAGAGTGCACATCTCTCCGACTGGATCATGATATGGAACATCTGTGCGATTCGCCTGCCTGCACTGGAGGAGATCAATGCCTAGAAAGGGCCTTTGTGAAGGCCGGGTTTGAGCACCGGGCTTTTGAGCACAGGGCTTCTATGATCAAGTTGAATGATCTATGGAGGAGCCCGTAAACGTTCAAACTGTGCTTTAGCCTCTAGAGAAGAGTAGCTCAAAAACTGTGTTTTGGTTTCTTTCGGCTTCAGGCTTCAAAAAGAACTGTCGGGCTGGAGTTTCTTCGGTTTTCTTTGCGCATCGAAAGAGCGGCTCACCTCTTTGTCGAACCTCCGATGTTTTCCCATCCCTACAGTTGATGAGCCCTGGCTACAATCATGGAGGCTTAAAGTTGAATACCATTTGTTTACGGGATTCACTGTATGTATATCTCAAACACCCCAAACATGATGTTGAAAAACTGCTACTTTTGATACCACCTGTTGGTGCTAGTCAAAACTCAGTTCTTGCATCAACTATAAACACAACTTGGCTTAGAGAGCAACGCCTCAATGCGCATCGACAACCATTCTGACCTTGACTCAGATAGTGCGTCTCAAAACAAGGAGGCATCGGAACCCTGATCCGAGTAAAGGGGAACTTTCAGTCTTGAGACAAACTTTACAACTTGGATCAACTTGGATTTGAACAGAACCTTGAAAACGACTATATGAAAGCTCCACAGCAAAAGGCATCCTTCTGGCTTGATATCTGCTGCGGTCCCAGCAATTTCTGACCCAACCGCATGTTTTGTTTGATCGTTTTCAGTTGATCGTAGATCGTACCTCACTTTCTTTTGCCCTCCCTGTTGATTGATTGGTGGCCCTAAAGGAGATGTTGGGACATCATCATACTTCCGCTTCACAGGCAGAGGAGCTCTTAGCCTTCCCGGCGGCCCACGGTGTGGACCGGGGCTGAAAGGGAGGGGCATCAGAGGTCAGAAGTTCGCATGGCAAGGATTAATGATTATTAGTGGGGAATCAATTGTTGAAGAAAAACAACGTCGTCATGAGTTTGGAGGGTGATCCCATGGCCTCTTCAGGCTATAAAGGGAAAACACGGTTGTGGAAGCTTGGACGGTTGCCCACACCCTTCTCCGATTCGAAGGGCGCGACGAGGAATTTGTTTGATTCCCAAGTTCTTGGACCCTGCTTTCCGGGAACAAAGCAACGAGCCTTTAGGAACAAAGCCAGAGCTGCCGATGGGCGTGGGTCTCGATTGAGTCATAGCCTTGAGGGTCTCCATTGAGGTTTTCTGTCACACTTTTCAGAGGAAACTTTCGGGGAAGACCACAGGGTGACCACTGGAAGACCCATCCACTTCCAGGCTGACCACTGGCATGTCCTGCGGCGAGGAAAAGAACTGGAACCTCATTCTCGGAGAGAAGCTCCGCTTGTTCATGGAATATTTCATCGAGCCTCACATCGTGCTGGGACGGCCCGGTCTCGTTCGATGGAGATCTGGATGGCTAGCAGCTGACGTGGACGCTGAACACGGGCAGGTGGTGCAGAGGTTCCTTTGAGTTTCCGAATGACAGAGGCTATTGAGATACACCCAGTTCTTGCAAACAGAAAATCCTTGGTGTGAGGGCGCGCACACAAAGACTAGTAGAAACCTCCAGCAAGACAGAAAACCAGCCCCAAATGAAGCCATGTAGGGTGTGGACCTGTTGCATAAGTTATTGGTACCTGGTACCCAAACAAGTGCTTGAAATGGTGTCTCCAAGTGGGACAGACATGTCAGGCACTCCGAGAAAAGTGAAACGTACGGCAAGTGTTGGCAACCATCAGACACCAAAGACCAGATACTTCTCCGCCACAACAGGCGCGGAGAACTTGGCCCTGAAAGCTTTGTTGGCATGAAGATACATCTTGTTACTCGATAAGAGTCCAATAATAAGAGTCCAAAGCACCAGCGCTCGGGGACCAAGACCAAGAGAGACCATATTGAGGATACCTTCCTGTAGCCCAGTCTGTTGGGCAAATTTTCCACAGTTCGCAAGGTTCCTCCTCCTTTTCAGACCTCATTCTCGTCACTCGTCACATCCCCATCGACTCACTTGCTGAGGCTCACTGCCTCACTCTGGCGGAACGATGCAGGACTGCAGTTCTGGCGACGAGTGAGCTTTTTGTTTTGGGATGCTGTCTGGGTGAGCCGTAGGATTGCTTAAGAGAAAGGCAATCATTTGGAACATGTGGGGTACTGATGTAAACCAACATCAAGCAACGTGGGCCACGCTGAACCAGCTGGAAAGAACTCCATGACATGAAGACCAAGTATCACATTGCCAAAGCAATCTTGCTCCACCTCGCGTGCATGAAACACAATGTTGTGGGCAAAAGACAGGGGCTCCTTGATTCGTGTGCAGTCGCATGTTTGGTGCGTCGCATGTTTGGTGCGTCGCATGTTTGGCCTGCATATTCTGGGGCCATGCGCAGCTGCATATACCACCTTTGACCAGAAGCTTCTTGAGAAGCGGCAACCATATATATGTAAGGAATGCCAATAAAGCAGTGCAGCTGGGCTAGCATCATCAGAATCACCTTTCTGGTAAACAACCTCTTGGGCTTACTAGAAGCCAAGCATTTTCCAACCCCCTCCCAGCCTGAAGAGCCTGTGAAGGTACTTATATAATAGGTTTTAGAAGTTTCGTCCCCAACTTGTTTTGACCCTGCCTGGCTTGCAACAAACGGTCACGCCGAGCTCTCGTGTCGCACGTGGTCGCACGTGGTCGCACGTGGTCGCACGCGGTCGCACAGGAATTCATCTCGCCCGCCTGGAGCAGAGCTTCGTTTCGCGGTGGCCTTATGAGGCGTGAACCGATAGGTGTCGAGGGCCCTGTAGGACCAAGACATGAAGCGAAGCGGCTGGTCGACCATCCCGACGTGCTCGACGATATGTCATGACATCCGGACATGGACATGGCGGACAGGCGGTTTTCATGCTCGAGCCACTTCACATGCGGTTGAAGACGACCAACCTTGTGGTTGTTATGGGCTGGGAACTTGGTCAATAGACGTCGATCGTTTGGGCGTAGAGAAATCAGATTTGTCTCCATATTCAAGGGCAGCCCTCATTGGTTCCACCATGTTCCACCACATTCATTTGTTCTGATCTCTGTCCCAGTGGTTTTCAAACAACTCCAACTTTGATATGGCAACGATGACCATGTTTTGTAGAATTCTTTGGATTCGATCACTTTGCGCCGCCCATTTCGACCGGCTCAAACAGCTTGGGTATCTTGGGTTTCCCCGGTTCCCACACTGGCTCTCGCTCGTCCGGAAACGTGCGCGCATAGTCTCTACGACTGTCGTGCGCGAGGCGAAGCTTTTGTGGAGACATGGGTTGTGCAAACAGCCATGCGTTCGCTCCAACGAAGGAAGGGGAGAGCAGGCATTGCTTGCACGAGATGGCGTTTGACATTGATATTCCGGAAGGGAAGGCGGAGATTAACAAGAAGAAGAAGAACAAGGTGAAGGAGGTGGGCAAAAATATTGGGATCCGAGTTGGGTTCTCAAAATCTTCAATCAACTGTGGATCGGGGGGGTCAGTTTGGGCGGGGTTTTGTCCACTTCTGTGGTCTTGGTGAATGTGGGTCAACCCCAACATTATCAACATTTGAGGACATGATAAGGTCATTGAGGTCATTCAGTCTTTGAACTCATCTTCAAGAAAGGTGCCGACTTCGGCCTTGGAGTCGACATGCATTGAACACCTTCCTTCAAGTGCCGGCTTCGGGCTCTGCTTTTTCTTGCATTCCTATCTTCTAGCAGGGTCCAAGATCAAATTGGTGTACCATGAACATGTTTTTCGTTCTCCCTCCACAGATATACCCAGTCAGGTATATATACTGATATACTGTACCTATTCTATTTTTGGGGTGTTCTTGTTTGCAGCTAGATGATCCGACGACAGGAACACGTCCCACCGGAAGGATACCACTTTAAACGCTCGTTCGCGCCGTGCCCAGTGGAGACGAGGTTGCTTTCTCTTGAGACGCGGGGTGCGAAGGCTCGTCGTTCGCTTGAAGATTGCACGCTGGTACGGTCGATTGCCTCTCAGGTGGAGAGAGCCCCAAGTACAGCCACAAGCAAAACAACAAGCAAGAGAGCCAGCAAGGCAGCGAGCGACCCCGACAGGCTCATGCAGGAATTCCTGCTGCTGGGACTGCTTGTTTTTTTTTGGGGGGGCTGTTGGATCATTGGATGCGTTGTGAAGCCACTTCAAGACACGCCCAACGATATAAATATACAATATATAAATACATCATAGTACCTTCCATTCAGGGTCACCAACAAGCTACCCTACACTGTTCCATTGGACACCTGTGAGCACAGCTATAGACCAATTTTCATCGAAGAGTCCTAGGAACCGAGGTGAGTTCTCTTGGTCTATGTCTTTGGTTCAACAGCGGGTTGCCCTGCAAGCCGGGTAGGACTCCATTTCAAGAGTTTGGTTTCGATCCGCACGCTCATTCATGCAACCACACGACCGACCAAGCATCGGGAGTCCAAGACTGCTCAAAGAATCGTCTTTAGGTGACCCGAAGAGGAACTCCCTTTGCTTCAGTGGGGGAAAATATTGTGTTTTTGGTGTTTTTGGACTTCTAGGGTTCTGGTGTTTTGCATGTTTTGCCTCCACACCTTCATGTGGGGACCAGGAGGTGACTGAGCTGAGGCAGATGATCGAACGGCGCCCTCTAATGCTCGAGCCCATGGTTCAACAGAAAAGAAAGCGCGACTTCGGAGTGTCGTGAGCGTGGAGTGTCGTGAGTGATAGGTCTCGATGAAACATGTGCAAACTAACCACCAAATCATGGTGGGAAATCCCCTGCTGCAGGCTGTTCGCCGGGAAAACCGCCCACCGTCCAGCGGAGAGTTGTAGATCGTCGGAGGATGCATGATCTGAATCATGCTAAGGATGAGTCCTTCGATGTCACGTAGGAGGCAGAGATGGCAAACAAGAAGAAATTGGCTTTGCTTTAGGAAGGAAAACACTTTAAGATTTCCCTTGTTTTGATGTTCCCAGCATTTCCCTGCCATGTCTGCTTCACTGCTCTTGGGCGGTGGAGAAACCTTCTCCGGCGGACGACGAGCCATCCCTTTAATAGTGGGGTCTGAAACCTGTGACGCAATGCTGCCAAAGCACGATTCCGATACTGATCTATACTATAGGAAGGAAGAGAGCTGCTGTTTCGCATGTTTCGCGCACGTCTCTCTGCTCGGTATGATGGTGGCTGCTGAGAAGCAGCACCGCCAGCAGGCACAGGATTTAGCCCCTAGGATGGATGTTTGAAGGATGACTTTTGAAGCATCAGGCCCGGCCGCAGGCCTCAGGCCGGGCTCTAATTCATTGATCACTTCCAGGGGAAGGCGAAGGTTCCGGATCGGGACAACAGGTCGGAGCTGACGGGGAAGAATCATTGGCCTCAAGTCTTAGTTGGTTTGGAGCTGACTCCCCATGATTCGGACATGTGTGGCCCAATCGGACAGGTAACACGGCCCTGACCTGGGACGACCCAGGTTCAACTGCGTCCCTCCACACCCATTAGATAGACAAGTGTGTGCATGAAGGGCACCTCCTTGACATGCTTGGCATGCTCCATCGAAGTGCTTCAGCCGATTTCTCCCGTTACCAGTGGGATCCCTAGGTGTTCATACCAATACACAGCAGGGCCACATCATGCCACATCCATTTCAGACTTTCAAGGTCGAACGGGTTGTGAGTGCCGCCTTCTCCAAGAAGTCTTCGCTCCGGCTGCGCCGCTGCGCCCACCAGAGGGAGATGTCGCTGATGGTCCATGGAAGTGTAGATGCAAGACACTCTCGGTTTAGCTGTCATGCAGTGGATGCAAACCCTCTTCTGAAATAGATTCTTTGTGTTTTTTTTCCTATTTTTATGTGCAGCAATTTTGGGTTTCGAGTTTCGAATGGTTTCCTCTTCCCAGGTGTGTCATCGTGCACCCGGTTCCGAGACCGGAACTTGACCAGACTGGACCAGACCCGGTCTGACGACTTTCCCTCTACAACGAACCGGTCTAACGGTGTTCATGTTGGGACTCGGAACCGGTGACACCTGCGTGGTTGGTTCGGCGTCGGGAACCGTGGTCGGCTCGGTTGGAGTCAATTCTAAAGATGGGACACCAAGGTTCCTTGTCATTATAATGACCACATCAATGATACATGTGGAAACAGGGTGGACACGGCCTTTTGAAATCTTTTGAGACATTCCAAACTGTTGAGGGAAGCTTTTTCCCTGTTTCCAGCTGAAACGGACTCACGGTTCCGGGTGGTAGACTTGAGACACTGCCTGCAAGACTGACCCAATACGCTTGGAGGGCGAAACCTGACCGTTTGACCGCCTGACACGTCACTCTCCGCGGGCGAAGCGGCGAAGAGTGACGAGCGACTGCGACGAGCGACTGCGACGAGCGACGTCGCGCACTGGGCGCTCTTTTTCGTGGCGACCTTCGGGGTAGATGAACTGTCTCATGAATCTCAATTCATGATTTTCCACGGCGCCAGTGGACTCGAGACTGCGAGACGGGCTTTGGCTCTTTTTCTGCCTCGGTGTTGTGGCCCGCTGTGTAAACATGGGGAATCAGTTGCAGCTGGTTGCAGCTGGTCATCAGAAAAACATGTTGCACGATGTTCATATCACACGTGCTGTTGTTGAAACGATCAGAGAGTCTGCTCCCACCAGCTTTCACGCAAAGTAGGGTGGGGAATGCGCGCTGTTTACAGTGTGATGGCGCAGGCAACTCAGTTGAAGTCGTTAGCATGAACCTCCATCTCAAATCAGGGAAGTTCTATATGAAGTTTGTATTGTCGCGTTTCACACCAGATTCCCAACTTCTTTGGGGGACTGTCAATTTTGACCTGTTGGGGTTTGCGCCATCTGCTCTGAAATTGTGTGAAATCACTGCATTTTCATTTGCATTCTAGTTTTTAATGCCCCGTGACTTCCTCCATTCCGAACTTGGGTTTGGCCAAGAGAGTCTTTGTTCAGAGTCGTGTTCGATTTCGCCACCCGAGCCAGGCAGTTGCCATGAGGGGGCCACCCGAGTCATTGCTTTGCTCTCCGATGGCTGAATCCAAAGCGGCCACAAAACCTTTGAGCATTTTCCAATACGATGCAGGGGCGTTTGGATTAAAGTTTCAAGCTGCTTGACTGTTGGGCCTAGGGCCCTGGAGCCTCCCTCCAATGGTGTCCCTTAAGAAGTTCTTATGATGTTTACATCGTTGGACGCTGTCACCGTACCCAGGAGGAAACTCTTTGGGTGGATCATGCGAAAGATTTCGAGAGGATCTTCACTTGGAGTTTCTGTAGCAGAACTACTAGTAGCTAGAAGCTACCAGTAACTAGACAGGGGCCCCAAAACGCCCAAACAACACCATTGGCTCCGGTGGGCTCCTGCAATGAGTCCTGGAATCAAGTCACCCACAGTCACCGCGGGTCCTGAAGCTGGAAGCTGACTGCACAATCCATCAGACGACCCATCACCGCTTCACTGTACGGACATCTACCAGCGCTGGAAGTTTCTTTTTACATCTTTTTAGCATTTTCTGCCCTATCTGGGCACAAAGACGCTGAATTCTTTTCTTTCTAGTTACTGGGCAATATATGTTATATCGCGATGCAACAAAAACAGGTTAGCTTGTCAGAGTTCCTTGTCGGTGGCCAGGTCAAGCTTCAGCTCAAAATTGATTTCGGGAGAGCCGTCTATTTTCCCTGTTCCGCGAAACCGGAGTTTCACTGAAAATGGGGGAGCTTGCGGAGCTCATGAAGTCATGCAACTCAAGAGATTTGGGGTTCCACGCTGCTTTTCACTGAAAGACGAGACGAAGGTGGCCACGCTGTGGCTGGCTTCTGCACAATACACAAACGGATGACCATGAGAGTAAAAACAACGGACGGTTCGACGATCCGCACGCATTTATCTTTTTTTTGGCGCGACCAGGTCTTGCATGGCCTCACCAACGTTCGAGGCGGACTTGTGCGGAATGACAAAATCATTGAATGATAGACCACAATACAGCAAAAGCATGCGAACCAGCTGACGTGGATGTGCGTATGTATGGACGGAGTACTCAAGTTACTCAACCAGGTGTTTTCGCGGTAGTTGTTAAGGCTGGGTTTGATCGAGGAGTGCGTACATGCACCATTTTCCGAAGGATGAACGGTGTTGAAACACTTGACGTTGAGAAAATCCATTGGATCTGTTGCTGGCAACGTGAATCAGCAAGTGGCGAACAGGCTCTGAGTAGTTCTGCGCTTTGACTGTAGACAAACCAAACCTTCTCACGTAATGGACATCTTGAGAGTGCGTTGATGCAAAACCGCGCCGCTTCGAACGACCGCAGGTGGCTTCTGTTGCCTGCGGCTATCGGACGAGCTACTTCAAATCCGGACCTCTCAGCGCCGAATTGGGGGGCCGGGGACCCCCGATCCACACAGGGGTGGTGGCTCTCTGCCGCAGGCATGGTCACGTGACGTTCAGTGATCGAGGTCTAAACTGAAGTGACTTGAGTCAAAACAACACTTTTTAGCTCTTCTGAACACAACTGCCTCAATGCGCTTCAAAGATGGGTTTCTACAAGACCAACAGCAGAGAACAAATGTGATTTACGCCACCAGAGTTTTCAACAATTGTGGTACTGTACTAAGGATTGCTTCAGCTTCAAGTTTTCTTCAAACCATGCTTGTGACTCGAGAAGGGGCTCGCCCCGCTGCCCTTAGGGATGATGATGAGGAGAATCTGGAGCTGCCACCAGGCGGGGGAATGTCCCGCCAGAGAGTGTACCGAAGAATTGGAGGATGTGGAAGATGCATCGGCACGGCTTCGTTGTAAACTCCGAAGAGGAACGCAGAAACATACATCGGCACGCCTCCATGTCTGAAGGAAGTCTCACATTTGGTTGGTCCTTTGCAGGCCCATGTTCCGAGCAAGGTTGTTGCTCCCGTGTCCCCTACCCGGCTTTGCCCAGGGCCGTTGCTCCTGGGTGCTGGGCATTTGCAGCGAATCCGTTCCCCCTTCGATCAGGCGAGCTCTGCCCAAGACGGCCATGGGTGAACCCAGGGATTGCCTGTACATACCACTGGTATGTAGGTGGTATAGACAAGGAGTGATGATTGTTGCACAAACTCTGACCAAACAAGGGGTCTCCCAGATTTTGAGATCCTTTCAACAAATATGGTATCTAAATTATAAATGGCATGCAGTTGGCATCCAGTTTTTTTAAATTCTGCTTGAACACCCCATTGAATACATGCAATCTGAACACACTAACCTACTTGGACATTTTGGAGACATTTTGGCTTCCCCAGTCTCAGTCGGCGTGCTGCCACCCCTTCCGCTTCGAACATCCATGGCCCCACGCACGATCGATGTCCAGGCGCCGGGAGACCTGTCCCGCTTCCGGCGGCAAGCGAAGAGCCGGGCGCGGAGGGAAGAGGGGAGGGGAGTGTAATGCCAGGAGCTACTAGTAGCGTCCTTGCTCCTAGTAGTGATGCCCTTTGTTACTACGTAGTAGCTTCTAGGTTGAGGTACGGAGCTGCACATGTAGAACTGCCAGTTTGTAGGGTGGCGACCTTGGAGGCCCACAACCCTCTCGCGTCTGATACACTGACGCAGCAACCTCTTGAGCAATCGCAGAATATGATAGAATATGCAGATAACTAGATCGAGTGTGAGTGGTAGAGTATCAATGCATCATATCATATATGGAGATTGCCCCGTGGATTTTCTAGACAACAGAGTCAGCTGCAAAACACCACTTTTCATGAGAGATACGTGTTGCGGAAGTGAAATGAAGAGTTTCACCCAATGGAGATCCCCCTCCGCAGGCATACCCCAGAATCATTACAACACGTCGTACAACAAGTTTAAAATTGCACCTGCCTGAGATGAGCATCCTGAATTTGAGAATTCAATGAGTAAGCAGCCGGGATTAGCAATGCGCGGAGATGTATTCGTCCCCTGGCAATTGCGATGGTCTTAGAGAGATTCCTTCCGCAACTCCATCGGCTGATTTCTGCGCCAGACCTACCACCAGTCCATGCCCCAGCTGAGTGCAGCGCTGGTGGAGCTGGGCTTCACGGGTTTTGGTTCCTCTCGGGTTCCATCTCGGCGACCATCGGTTTTTCCACCAGGCTGGGCCGGGCAGTGGAACGTCGGCTTTCACGCCCCCAACAGCAAAGCGGAAAGTCCTGAACGAACGCCAAGATGGGTGTGTTGGAATATTGAATCCCTCTGCCTTCAAGGCAGAGATGATGCATCTGGTGCGTGTCACGCACAGATGAGTACACTGTATAAACTTTAAGCTAAGAGGCACAGGGCAGTGTGTTCAGATCCCAGGATTGGGAGAAACACCTCTGCGGTCGCCTGAAGTCAGTGTTGGATCGAAATTGGGGGGGAAGAACCTCCTGCGGGCGTTTAGAACCTCCAACGGACCTCTACCCTCCAGAGGGGACGCTTGCCGCTTGCAGTCCGACGGTCCTTCCAAACCGAACACAGCTCCCACGTGCGCGGGATCGACCGAGGTTCTTCTACCTGCTGCGGGCCTCGGAGCCCTTCGACGTGGTGGCCGTGTCCTCGGAGTGGTCCGGATGCCTGACACGAGACGGGAGGAGGCAGGTCGCGCTTGGTGGGGTGCTTCGCTGGTGGCGCTGTGAGGTGGTGTTGAAGGATGTTCAAGGATGTTGAAGCGTGGGATTGAAGATGTTGACTTGATGTTTGCTTTTTTCCATTGTTTGTTTGGTGAGCAACCAGCTGCAACTTTGATGTTTGATTGATTTTGATTGGCGCTGATTTGCGCTGATGGTTTTGTCCCTGTGCACAGCTCTCATCCATTCTCATCCCATGTTCTCACAGCACCTGGTCGAAGGGGCTGTTGTCCAATGTTCAGTTCTGGGCGAACGAAAGCAGGTGCAAATCCACGCGCGGAATCGGCGCACAATCCAACTGATGAGCTCACATCTCCGCGAGTTCCTCCAGAGCAAGCGCGTTCTTCCGCAAGCGCCCAAAAGATGGTTCATTGGCCAGGCTGGATCTTCATGGCCAAGCACTGAACATGCCGCACCCAGTTGGTTCTACTAGGCGAAGGATGAAAGGCACCATCAAGCACAACTGAAGGCTTTACCCAAGGTCTGTACCCAAGGTCTTCATTGGTACTTCAGGAACGTCGCTGGTTTCACCGCTTCTCATTTGGGCGTTTGTAAGAGATGTCACGCGATGGATCACCGCCCGGAGTGGATCGAAAAGAAGGCATCATATATATATATATATACTAACATTTATAGATCCACATTACCCTGGCATTAACATCGCGATGGATCCACGCCTGGAGATGATCGAGATTTAGATTTATAGGTTGGTTTTATGGACCACAATACCCCCCGAGAAAAACTGCGCAGTCGTCCGAAAGTGGCCGAAAGGCTGGGCCAGAACGACGTACTCAGATGGAAAATGCATTCCGAATTATGCGACATTAAAGAGTAGAAAAAACAGATGTAGACCCCTGCAATTTTTCATCTCTGTTTTCTTACAACGATCTATTTTCTTAATTCATATCAAGGCATATACAAGCAGTTCCCGGGCAAGCCGGCGGCGGAAGTTTCCTATAAGAACAAATTGACCTATAGGAGTGTCCACGTTCTCTCCAACATGCGCGTCCTCCAGTCAAACGCACGTGCTCCGGACTTTTGACCCACGGGATTCCACGTGTGTAAGGTGTGTGCCCCCTGCAGGATCAGTGTGTATGATGAGTGGTGTATTGACCAGCAGTTGAATGTCCTGTCCTGCATAAATGCAACCAAATACTATCAGTATGAACTGTGCCAAACCTGCACGCCGCGAGAGATGACTCAGCAGCGAGAGATGACTCAGCCGCGAGAGATGGCTATAGCGAGAGCTGACTCAGCAGCGAGAGATGAATGAGCAGCGAGAGATGACTCAGTCGCGAGAGATGACTCAGCAGCGAGAGATGACTCCTCCGCGTACTACACTTGTACTACAAAGTGGCCAGTTCTCAGCTTCCAGCTCCACAGGTTGTTCCGCGTGCTAAAGTTGTGCTAGAAAGTCGCCAGTCAGTTCGCATCTTCCAGCTCTACAGATTGCTCCGCGTACTGCAGTTGTACTACACAGTCGCCAGTTCTCAGCTTCTAGCTGCACAGATTGCTCCGCGGACTAAAGTTGCACTACAAAGTCGCCAGTTCTCAGCTTCCAGCTCTACAGATTCCTCCGCGTACTAAAGTTGTACTTGAAAGTCGCCAGTTCTCAGCTTCCAGCTCTACAGATTGCTCCGCGTACTAAAGTTGTACTACAATGTCGCCAGTTCTCAGCTTCCAGCTCACAAATTGCTCCGCGTACTAAAGTTGTACAGGAGCCGCCAGTTCTCAGCTTCCAGCTCCCCAGATGCTGTGCCTGCCACGAAATCTGCACATGGAGGTTCACAAAGTGCTGCGCCTGCCACGAAATCTGCACATGGAGGTTCACAAAGTGCTGCACCTGCCACGAAATCTCCACATTGACGTTCACAAAGTGCTGCGCCTGGCACGAACTCTATACATGGAGGTTCACAAAGTACTGCACCTGCCACGAAATCTGCACATGGAGGTTCACAAAGTGCTGCACCTGCGACGAACTCTGCACATGGAGGTTCACAAAGTGCTGCGCCTGCCACGAAATCTGCACATGGAGGTTCACAAAAGTGTTGTGCCTGCCACGAAATTTGCACATGCAGGTTCACAAAGTGCTGTGCCTGCCACGAAATCTGCACTTCAAGACACAAGTGAAACCTCTAATCCCAATGGCCGGACGATTCCGACCATGCCCGAGAATGATCCGAGACCGTCTCGCACCCGTCGTTCCGCAGACCTTGACTTGCCAGCTTCGGAGCCACCGGTTCCATTGAAAAATACAGCATTTCGTGCGTTCGCTATCTCTCCACAACGCATTTTGTATTGCGCCTGCCACGACATCTGCACATGGAGGTGCACAAAGTGCTGTGCCTGCCACGAAATCTGCACATGGAGGTTCACAAAGTGCTGCACCTGCCACGAAATCTGCACATGGAGGTTCACAAAGTGCTGCACCTGCCACGACATCTGCGCATGGGGGTTCACAAAGTGCTGCACCTGCCGCGAAATCTGCACATGGAGGCTCACAAAGTGCTGCGCCTGCCACGACATCTGCCCATGGAGGTTCACAAAGTGCTGCGCCTGCCACGAAATCTGCACATGGAGGTTCGCAAAGTGCTGCACCTGCCACGAAATCTGCGCATGGAGGTTCACAAAAGTGTTGTGCCTGCCACGAAATCTGCACATGCAGGTTCACAAAGTGCTGTGCCTGCTACGAAATCTGCACTTCAAGACACAAGTGAAACCTCTAATCCCAATGGCCGGACGATTCCGACCATGCCCGAGAATGATCCGAGACCGTCTCGCGCCCGTCGTTCCGCAGACCTTGACTTGCCAGCTTCGGAGCCACCAGTTCCATGCAGCATTTCGTGCGTTCGCTATCTCTCCACAACGCATTTTGTATTGCGCCTGCCACGGCATCTGCACATTGAGGTGCACAAAGTGCTGTGCCTGCCACGAAATCTGCACATGGAGGTTCACAAAGTGCTGCACCTGCCACGAAATCTGCACATGGAGGTTCACAAAGTGCTGCACCTGCCACGACATCTGCACCTGAAGCTGGAGTTGCCTGGAGCTTGAGCTGTTGAAGCCAGAGCTGGTGTATGAGCGGTGTATGATGAGTGGTGTATGATGAGTGGTGTATGATGAGTGGTGTATGATGAGTGGTGTGTGATCAGTGGTGTGTGATGAGTGGTGTATGATGAGTGGTGTATGATGAGTGGTG